AGCTGACCACCTGGCTGAGGGGCAGGGTCTGGGAGCTATGCAGTTTTTTGGCTGGAAAACTGAAGAGGGCAAACTAAGCAGAGTGCTGGGAGTACGGGGGGGCTATGCACCCCTGCCCCAAGGGGTCTAGGGCTGTCAGCCCCGACTCCTTGGCTGCATCTAGACTGGCATGATTTTACGCAAAAGCAAGCGCTTTTGCACAAAATCTTGCCACCTGTCTACGCTGGCCACGAGTACTTGCGCAAGAACACTGACTTTGTAATGTGCAAAATCAGTGGTTCTTACGCAAATACTCTGACGCTCCCGCTCAGGGATAAGCCCTCTTGTGCAAGCATTCTTGCGCAAGAGGGCCAGTGTAGACAGCAACGTTAATTTCTTGTGCAAGAAAGCCTGATGGCTAAAATGGCCCCTGGAGCTTTCTTGCGCAAGAGAGCGTCTATGCTTGCACGGATGCTTTTGCGCAAAAGGCACATGCCAGTATAGATGCTCTTGCACAAATACTTTTAACGGAAAAACTTTTCCGTTAGAAATATTTGTGCAAAATCATGCCAGTCAGGACGCAGCCCTTATGTCCACATCACGTCTATGCTGTGCTGTATCCCAGAGAAGCAATAAACCCTCTCTCTTCTACCGGCTGGCAGAGTCTCGCTGCTATGGGGGTGCAGGATCAGGGCATCACACCCCTGGCTGCCATCACCATCTGGGAACTCCGATCAGTGCAAGCTCCACGGAGTGGTGAAGTCTCTCTCTCTCTTCCCCTCCCCTAACTCTCTAAGGCTAAGCATAGCCTCCTAACTCTGCCCTATGTAAACTATTATATGGTTTTCTAGCCCTAACCCTGGTAATCCAGTTTCAATTTGGATTTAATATTGTAACTGTTTTGTGTGTTTGGCTCTCCCCCTCTCTCTCTCTATATAAATAAGTAACTTTCATTATTAAGCTGGTTGTTTCTCTCTCTCTCCCACTCACTCTTCCTCAGGGGTGTTGTTTTGGCTTCCCCAGTCACTCTGCAACAATGCTTCTTGTACCCAAGCTAAAGATCCCTGTAGTGCCCAACAATCCTGTGGGGTTTGCTGATCACATGGTTTCCTAACGACTGATTGTGGTGTGAAAGTGGGGATAGGGAGGTGCTGAACCTGGGGCATATGAGGATGGCAGCTTATCCAGCCCACTGGATCCAAAGGCACATGAGGGAACAGTGTGGCACTGATGTTAAAGCCAGCCTGCTGAGGCCAGGGACAGCTTGTGAGTGCAGATTAAGCAGGCCTCTCAGATGAGCGAGCTCTTAATGGGTGCGAGTGTTCTTGTGTTGCTAAGGCGAGGGATCCGCGTCGCCGTCTGGCCTCTGGCGCGAGGGATCCGCGTCGCCGTCTGGCCTCTGGCGCGAGGGATCCGCGTCGCCGTCTG